TGTGATTCTGAATAAAGGTATTAAAAAAAGGTCAATAATTTGGGGAGAAAAATGGCTTTGATTCTCAAAAAAGCTAAGCAATTGCCAATTTCTCTCCCTCCAATCTGCATAACGAAGCCAAACCCAATTATATTTATATATATAAAAAATAATGAAAATGGAGTCATCTCTTGTCAAGTCATATGTGTTTCTTTCTTATTTTTTTGATCTTTTTGGGGAACAGTTTGCGAACTTCACTGACTAGTTGGTGTGTTCCTAATGGGTGCGATACGAACCAGACCACTTACTCTTTTTTTATATACATAAAATTGAAAAAATATATATACTTATATGGCTATTAATTAGTGATTTCTTTTTTTTTCAGTCATATGAAATTTTTGTTTAAACTGAAGAAAATACAAAACCGATAACTTTAATAGTTAAACATAATTAAAGAATAAGATGATTTGGTTCATTTTTGTTATAATTAAAATAAGCATCTTGGTCTGATTATCCAACGTCATTGGTAATGTGATGCCAAAGATTGGTTGGCTAACTAGTTTTGTGATCCTTATCGGCTATCTCACTTATCTCCTATACTTGTGCGTAATCAATTGTGCATAACATTTTAAGGAGTGTTAACTAGTATTTGATATTTTGATTGATCAACTAGATAATTTAGTTTTGTTGGTGGATTAGTTGTGATTTAAATGACAAGCAAAAGAAATGGTCTTTTATTATGTACTTGCACCATAAAACGATTTAAAATGGTTTTACATAACACCATTATTTGTTAAAGAATTTTAAGTCTCTGAAGATGGGATTTGGACCAAAACATGCAAAATAACTACATATCCAATTGTGATGTAAATTCGCACACCTGGAAACACACATGCAAGTGTACTTTTAAAAGATATACATATACACGAATTGCGAAATTATTGAGGGTATTTTTTTATGTAAACGGAGAAATAATTGAGGATTAGGTTGGCATTATTTGAGGTCAAAATATAACTGAAAATTTGTCAAACATTGAAATCAATTAAATTAAAACTGGTATGAGAATATATGTATATATTGTTTTTTTTTTAAATTTCGGGTATAGTTATAAAATTGAAATATAACAATTAACTTT